GAGGGGGCGAGGAAGGAGGACATCCTTTGTCGCTGACTCGCACCTCGATGGAGATGGGCACGCACAGCGAGACTGTGATACTGCCGCCACGACGTTGACGTTCTTAGTCGCAAGGACGCCAGCAACTACACTTGGCCCACCCAGAGCCACTGGTCATGGGCCTTTGCAACTGGCGAGGCAGAGTCCACAACATGACTGGCAAAGGTCGAAAACACATTCCAGCAAATCGCGAGCGCTCTGTTTACGATGTTAACGCCAGGACGCTGAACACACGACGAACGCCTTGGTGTGGGGCCATGATAAACGACGAAGGCAGTCGATTTGAAGCGATGTCATGTGTTGTGCATGTGCTGCGACGTTCGAGGCCGTTGTGGTCTCCTCGCTTCCAACTCGATTGCCACAGGGCAAGAATGGCAAGGATTGAGTTGTCATGATTGATGTCACAGGGGCAAATCGTCGCCCATGCACGTCCGAGTAAAATTGAACGAGTAGAACTGGTCGTCGTCGGGGGCGACGAGGTCGCACGCGCACGGTGGGTCTTCAAGCTGGTCCGTCAACGCCGGCGTGAGGCGTATGGGCTTTGGAATGAGTGGCGGCATCTCGTCTTGAATTCCTACGTCAAACTCCGATGACTCCATCGCGTTGAGTCATCGAAATCGGCGCACGAGCCCAATTGATGGAGCTGAAGAACGCATGCGCCTTGATCGGCCCGTTCGACTTCAGTCGCGTCCGAACATTCTGCACGAAAACTAGTGACATGAGGCAACGCAGTGGTGGGTAAACCTTGTCCAGAAGGAGGAAGAGCAAGTCGCGACACGACGGGGACACCGCAGGCGAATACGGAAGCACCAGGTCGTCGTGTAAGATGTTTTGGCGGGTGTCGTCCTATGCCACGATGAGGTGAGGGAGGCGACGTGAGCGAGGACGGACGTCGTTGTCGCCTTGAAATGGAGTTTTTGCAAAGAGCATTTGGTACAGGAGGACTCCGAACGCCCACCAGTCGATCGCATGCACGAAGCGGTGGCCCTTGTGGGAGGCCAGGACCTCAGGGGCAATGTACTCGATGCTCGCAAACGACTTAGGGCCCTTGCTACCGTTGGAGAATGCGTGGAATGTCGGGGGCATGATTGCATCCAATGGCGATACTTGATTTGACCCCCAGCACGACTGAATGCACCGCGTGATGCAGTCCCATGGCCATCGCCGGCGCCGCCGCCGCGGGGAAGGCACCGACGTCGCCGAATGTTCGAGGGGATTCACAATTGAGCTCGCATCGAAGTCGCAGAGGACGATGTGGCCATTTGCACGCAGAAGGATGTTCTTGGGTTTCAGATCTACTCCCGTTTATGACGGACGATAGCGGTGCGTAGCTCATGCAAACCTTCGTACAGCACCCCCATCATGTGCAAGTATTCGAGCACCACGAGCACTTCGGCGGCGTAGAATCGAGCCATGTCCTCGCAGAGAAACCCGTGCGGTTGGGCTCGGATCGTTTGATGCAAGTGGCCGCCTTCACACAGCTAAGGGCAGACAGGGTATTTACGCCATTCATATCCCACTTCGTTGGCATGGCTACCTGCATGACCATGTACAGGAATCGCTTGGTCTGAAACGCGTAGTATAACCTGACGATGAATGGATGGTCCGCAAAGGCCAGTATCTCCCGCTCTGTCATGGTCCGCTGCACCTGCATGCGGCTAACCATGACAAGCTGTCGCCAACAACACTTGACGTACTCGCTCATGACGCACTGCATCTGACTTGTTGATCACTTTCATGGCAAAATGACCCGTTAACGGCAGCCCCTGGATGCACGTGAGGTACCTTCCCATTGACGACGTATGTTCATTACCTTGCTCTTGACGAGGTAGACGCGACCGCACGTACCCGAGCCGAGGAGGCGAATCTTAACAAAGTTGTGCAGGCCGACTTCATTCGTCGAGGTTGGCGAACGCATCCACGTCGGATGATTTCTTGATGCCGTCAACTCCGAGCAGTTTTGACCGTTTCATGCAGCTCGTGTTTCGAACGCGTTTGAAATGCAAAAATTAAAATATTTCAAACGAGTTGAAGCTTTTTGAAACGATTGGAAACAGACGTTTCAATCAATGCTGGGTGTCCTTGGCGCGCTGCAGGTTATCCGGATGAGTTGCATCATTTCCCGCGACTTGCCATATTTGAACGCGCCATGAGCGACATCCGAAGCTTCTTCGCAAAAAGGCCATCGACCAAGCGTAGTGCACCGAGTGCCGATGACGATGCAGTGCCGCCAAAGAAAGCCAAGGACACTGTGCCGAATAAAGACGCAGTGACAGCGCCGGTGGTTGCAGACACGCCGTCAGCCAAGTTGTCGTCGCTGCTCACTGAACCAAAATGGACCGCGCTGCTTGCACCTGAGTTCAAGATGGCATACTTCAGACGACTGGAAACCTTTCTTGCCCAGGAGCAGAAGTACACGCGAACCACCACGTCTACGAATCTAACTTGCTTATATAGGAAAAAGGCGGCGATCTTTCCCCCTCGAGAAGAAATCTTTGCAGCCCTCAACCTGTGTCCGTTCGACAAGATCAAGGTCGTGATCATCGGGCAAGACCCATACCATGGTCCTGGACAGGTGAGATTAGACCTCTCTCTCCACGCGTGTGTAGCTGATGCAGATTCGTCGAGTAGGCGCACGGGCTTTGCTTCTCAGTTGCGCGAGGTGTCCCGCCGCCTCCGAGTCTGAAAAACATCTACAAGGAAGCCAACAGCGACATTGGAATCCCAATCCCCAAGCATGGGAGCTTGCTGTCATGGTGCAACCAAGGTGTGCTCATGCTCAATGCCGTACTTACTGTCCGCGCGACCGAAGCGAATTCGCACAAGAAACAAGGCTGGGAAACCTTCACGGACGCCGTCATTCGACTCATCAACGACCAAAGCCAGAACGTTGTATTCCTTCTGTGGGGCAAGCCAGCGCAAGTACGCATCCACGACGATCTGAATGGCAATGGTCATGCGGCGTTGTAGGAAAAAGGCGCATTGATTTCTCGCACCAAGCACTGTGTCCTCACGAGTTCCCATCCTTCGCCCCTGGGTGCTACCAAGACAACCGAACCATTCATCGGGTCCAAGTGCTTCTCCAAAGCCAACGCATACTTGGTCCAGCACGGCAAGGACGAAATCGACTGGACTTTGTAATGTATGAATCATCTTTGAATCCGCTTCGGGACTGTGTGCTGCCGATCCCATGGACACTGAACCGTCGACGAGTCGGAGGACGTGTGGCGTACCAGTTTGGACCAGCACTTGTCGCACACACTATGAAGACACGGCTGCAACACTACACGCAGCACCAGCTTGAACGATGCGTTTGCATGATACGACGCACGAACCTGTGGTGCACGCAGCTCCAAAGCATAGGTTACACAAGTCCGTATCCATCTCTCCATCGTCGTCGGCCGCCTTGGCAGTCGACGTGTCCTTCGACTTCTCGATGCGACTCATGCTTTGGCGTCGTGCTGGTCGGGTGAAAGTGTCCTCTTCTGCACTCAGAGCACCATCCCAATCATTTGTTGATCTGACGGAAACATGCGCTTGACGCACCTGCGGCGGAGGCCGTGGGATGTTTTCGTTTCTTGTTGCCGTCGTCGTTCTCCGTGAGCTCGTCGAGCGGCGCGGGAACCATGCTCCTCCGTCGCGACGATGGCTTGGGTGTCTTGGTTTGCATGGGTGGTGGCCGCTTGTTCAATCGAAGCGCCATGTTCTTTCGATACGCTTCCTACACACATCGCCCTGTCGGTTTCCTCCAACTGAATGCGTTTGGCGCACTCGAATCGACTGGATGTGTTCAAAGTGAGCATGCGCTAACAAGGCAAACTCTTTCCACAATTGGCGCTGGGACTCGTGCATCTCGACCATGCGAGCTTCCCTTTCCCGCTCGGCATCAGCCCTTGCGTCTCCCGTGAGTGACGCTGGCACCGGAGGCAGGTCTACACAGCACGCGCCATCATTCGCATGCTAGATCACGCACGTAGGCGTCCAGTACCAAATTGACGGGTTGGATTCAGCCCTTGGCTGTCCAGCACAACGCTGTGACGCTGCGGCATGGCAACTCGACTGTGAAGAATGATCGGCGGCTGCTTGATGAGCTCTCGATAGCGGAGCTCATAGGCCTTGGCCGAGATATCCTTGTTTGCGACCGTGTCATGGTAAACGAGATCGTCGTCTTCGTTCTTGGAGCACCGCACGTGCATCAAGTTATCAAGGCGGTCGTCGTTGAGCTTCCACGACATCTTCATGCGTTCCATGCCCTTGGTCAGCTTGGACACTTGTTTTTGCCTGCGAGCCATCAATACGGATGAAGAGTTCAAACAGACACACCTGTACTCTTTGTCATCCAAGAAGGACGGGGTAGATGAACACGTCGGGCCGATGGGGTACTCGTACGCTTGGAGAATCTAATTACGACAAAAATGAAAACGCGACAAGTGGGAAAATGTTGGCTCACGTGAGATGCCAGGCCAAGGGCTTCGTCAGACATCGGGTTCAGACGAAGATACGATCGGATGAGCGCATTTCGCTGACTAATGTCTTCTGGGCGCTTGCGAGTTGGGCGGGGCGCTGCCGTTGTCGTCACTTCATCTAGCGATGTTGAACGACGTACCTGCAATTTCTCGACTGAGAGGAGGAGGTGCAGCGACGTCGGGATTGGATGCCAGCGAGAGCAAGTCGGAGTTGAGCGCATCCATGGAAGATGATGCAGCTGCAGACAAGGCATTCTGCATCGTGTTGGCAGTCGACAAAGTTTCTTGCAAGAGTACCATCAAGTCGTCGCGCTTTGAGCTCTTGTGATACGGTCCCGGCATGAACGAGAACTCAAACGCGATGTCCATGACTGATATTGAAATGGACAGCGCCAGCACCACGTTCTGGATTTTGGTCGGCACGACTTCACGAACGTGTTCCAATCCGATGCGAAGGCTGTACCGATCCGATCCATACACTTGACCGGAAGAGGTCTGCATCGTATCAGAATGGCGCATGGGACGCCAGAACAACTCCTTTCTGTCTAAATACAAGTCTCCCAGCGCATGTGTTCCTGAATTTGAATCGATGCACATCTTTAGGGACGATTCACCCGTAGTTGTTGGAAAGTTGAAAGTCACGAGCTTGCCATTCTGCTTGACCTTCAGACCGATATGCCGTCCATGGAAGAGCGCTTCGTTTGTTGAGAACTTCACGTCGTCTTCGACGAGAAAGAAGCTGTTTTCGAGCAAATGCGTCCCGACATCAATTGCTGTGGCGCTGGACACATCGTTGCTGCCAGGAGATATCCTTCCACCTGCTCCAGCCACATCACCTCCATCTAGGCTCTCGTTACTTGTCGTCGTCGAAGATCCAACAGGATGGGAAAAGATCTCGTCGTACGATCCAAACCCGAAGCAGTCTTCTTCCTCCATGCTGCCCTTCAGCTCCAGACTCGACACGGGCGCCAATGCCAAACTTATGATGTCCGGATATTAACGTTTGAACTTCAAATTATCCGGACAAGTAAATCAAATTTGGGCGGCGCGACGCGGCGCGCAGGTGAAGCCCTCTGGGTGACGCGGCGGATATGCCCACCACAGGGCGAACGAGATCCTTCGTCATGGATGACAGTGCGGTACGACAAGTTATTTGCGCAGCCATGCTGCATCTCGAAATTGCCAACATCGATTCGCTGGATGATGGATGCATGCCGTCGTGAACACAGGTGAGCCCACGTCACGAATGCGAGTGGAGATAAAATACTGAATTGACCTTGCGTACTCTCTATAATCACGTCTATTTCTTTGTGGCAGAGACCTTCTTGGCAGGACTCTTCTTTGTCGGGGGGGTCGTCGTTTTCACTGACTTGACAGCTTCCTTCTTCAAGGGGGCTTCCTTCGTGGGAGCTGCCTCCTTCTTCGCCGGACTAGGCTTCACTGGGGTGGCCTTCTTCGTGCTCGGGCTTGCTTTGACTACTGTTTCCGCCTTCACAGGCTTCGACGCCTTCTTTGCAGGGCTCACCTTAGTCGCTACCGCTTTCACTGGGGTGGAAACCTTCTTCGCAGAGCTAGCCTTGGTCACATCGGCCTTCCCCGCTGGTTTCTCAATCACCTTCGTGTCAGCAGTCACGTTTTTGGGAGCAGGGGTGGCCACTGAGACCGCCGGGGTCTCGGCGGTCTTGGCTTCTGAAGCTTTGGCTTTCTTCGAAGGTTGCGCGTCGGAGTCCTCAGCCTTTCGCTTCTTGGACCCAATCGGAAGCTTGGACGAGTTGGGGAGCGCATTGTAGATGGGTAGCGCCACCGAGTCCGACGTCTAGTTCGACCAGATATTCCTCAGCATCGTGCAAAGATCAAAACGCTTACCTTGATGTTGATCGACTTGATGTTCTTCCACTTTTTCGGGACATGCTCCAGGATGTTCTTGGTGCCTTGGACGATGTTGGCGACAATGTGATCCGTGTCCATGCCGTCGTGGGCAATCTTGACGTTGAAGCACGGCCCAGGCGACGTGAACATCTCCGTTCCATCGAGAACGCGGCGGATGTGGTCGCTAATGTTCTTCTTCCCAGTCACGTTGACAGTCGTCGGCTGCTTCTTCGCGTCGAAGAACGTTTTGCCCAACAGCGACTTGACGTACGGCAGCACACGGTCGTCGACGAGAAAGACGCCGTACGCGGCCTTCAGTTCGCGCTTGTCTTTAAATTGTGAAAAGTTCTTCTTGAGCTTCTTGAGCGGCATGACTTTCGCCAACCCGGCGACTGGGTCGGCCTTGAGATGTGCCTTGATGCGGTCCTTGTCCGAGTCTTTCACGAACAAGCACGCTTCGCCATCACCACGGATGTTGTGCGGCAATTTGCTACACATGGCAATACGTTAGATGCGAGAAACGTCGTGGCAAATGTTCCTAGTCGCACATGGGAATGGCCTTGAGGGATTCCTTGACAGGCACGGTAACTCGTGTGAAAATGATCTGGATCGTGTTGTTTTCGTCGACGAGGGCCTGCTTGGACGTCTGCGCCTTCTTCTTCTTGAGGAATTGCTTGAGCGCGACCACGGCCTTGGTCACTTGATCCGTGTCGAGCTGCTCCATCTCGTGCGCTGGTTGAAGCTTAAAATGGACCGTGGGGAGATGGATTGAGTGGTTGGTTGCCGGATGGGACAAAATAGCCAATCATAGGCCTGTATTTCAAACTTTCGACGAATCACAGTTCAGGACACCAATGGCTGGGACGATGGGATGTCCAACGTGAGCCGTCGTCGAAAGGACGTCTGCGGACCGCCGCCTACGACCGAGTTGGCCCCCCCGCCCTTCAAGGACACACGAGCCATGGCGGTCATGCTCATAGCCCCGTTGAATACTGCGCTCTGTTTCGTATGCGTTGCCTCCCGCCCATTCGAGCATGCATGCTGGGGCCGTTTGCACGATCAGCACTGGGATGGCACGCGAATGTGGAGGCGCTCGTTGATCGGGTAGACGACGGAGCCATGGGTGGGCCATGCGGGTGTTCCGCGCGGTCAGCGTGGTGGTTGCGCGGAACGCAGGCCGCGGTTCAAGCTTCCAAACGGTTCAGAGCGTGAATGGTCAGAGACGCCATCCAACGCTGGACATCTACCTGGTGTCGATCCCTTGGCAGATAGACAACGAACGACTTGAAGTGGGTTAACACTTGGATCGATGGCGCGAGAGCGCGCACGCAGCAGCTCACATCCACGCTTGCAATGTCAGCGGACGTCCACGACGGGCGTCGCGTGGAAGGGCTCTATGTTTTGGCTGGGTGAGATGTTCTGTCCTGGTCTGTACGGTCGGCAGGACGATCTTGATTTGTCACGTGCTACTCTTGCGACCCCAAGTGCTGTTGCCCCGGCGGAGGAATAGCAACCGCGAAGTCGCTGCGCCTGGATGGAGCGCCCGGGTGAGCTTCGGGCATCGCTTCTCTGGCCTGGATTGCCACAATCGTAGCGCAGGCCTGCCGCATAGGTTGACGTAGAGCCAAAGGGGTTGCCGTACTCAGGTGCGGCATGTAGTGGTCCGTTGGCTAGCCCATGCGGGTGTGGCAGGAACTGGGGAAGAGTCGCCATTTTTCTTGGACCCCACAGAATCCGGGACTACCATGCCTCAACGCGATGTCGTGGGGAGTGAAGCGACTCCCCGCATGAGACGTCTTCAGTGCGAAGGTCCTCTCGTTGCTCAGATTTCGGAAAGGGTGGGCGAGACCGATACAGGGCAAGTCGGGAGCCGAGGGCGAGAGAGGGAGCTGCGAGAGCGCATCCTAACCAACGGAAAAGGCAAGCGACAAGTACCAGGAACGAGTGAATTGGTGGTAGCCACTTCAGCTGGTCCAACCGAGCAGCACGGCATCGTAGCGATGGACCGTGGACGCCCGCTACAGCGAGCGTCCTCTACTCGGAGGGACAGCCGCTACTTGGCATGTAATCCCCCCAACAGAACCTGCATGTCCAGCGTCAAGGTGGCCCACCATGTTCCCTGTGTGTTCTGACTTTGGAGTCATGCCAGCCATCATCTTGTCCGACTCGACAAGACGATGCATGGAGTGGATGGGACCATGGACCCCAACCTTTCCCAAACGAAGCATCTACGTCATGCACGACGTTCGGCTTGGAACCTCAAGCAACGAGCGCGCGCAAGTCTCGACTTGGCTGCCAAACAGTGGCGCATGCATGTCCACATGGAAAGGATTCGCCAAGCAGTGGCCCGTGGATGGTCGCCCTGTCGTACAAAGTGCCGCCGATTGTCGACTCCATTCCGCGGGTGGGCAGCCTACAACATGGCGGTGCCACTTCCTCGACGCGGCGACGTGCGAAGAGAAGGACGGCCGACGTGTCATTGATATGGCTGCAGAAAGTGCATACTCGCTTCACGGCGTGGGATGAGCTTCTCCAGAGTTACCTACGTTCGCATTACTCGCGGCTGCTGAGCCACCACGTGGAGTGACAACGAAGCGCCCACCACAACATCCGACCCTCGGCTAATGGAGGAACTCGATAGTCGAGACAAGTATGGTGGGGACGTGGGTGCCACGTATGGGAGGACTAAAGTGGTCGGGACAGTCAGAACACCCTGTTCTGTCGAGAACATCCCCACTGCCCTGTCCATCAGGTCGCAGGATGGTCCTGCAACAGTAGGAGGTTTTTTGTGCCT